TGCTTTAAATGTTTTCTGTCAAATAAAATTGGAAATATATAGTTATATTAAATTACAGATGGTGTAGCATTCTACTGTTTTCATTGGATATGGAGATCATGCGTTTCAAAGGTTATTTTACGTATCTGACGCGTTGCTTCTATTTTTACTTATTTTGACGCTATGTTTCTATTTATATGTATATTGATGGTCAATATAAAAAAAATCTTGCTTATATAGTTTATATTTATGACGTCATGACGTCACACATAACAACCACGGAGGAAGTGCCGCATCTGAAAAGAAAATTTGCAAGTTTATCAGGAGATTTCAAGAATGTTATGTTAAATGCAGACGATAAGAATACAAGAATGCTAATGCAACAAGCTATGAAGTTATTGAAACAAATTGATATTTTCAATAACATGTTTAAGTTCTTGCAAAATACAATTGAAAAATACACAGAAAGAACATTGAACGTCATTTTCCTAATCCATTATTTACATATATAATATATAAATTAAGGACTTTTACTCAGTCAATACATTATATATGGGCCTGTTAGATTATATTGACACTCGGACTTCATCCTCGGTCCATATAATCTGAACAGGTTCATATATAATGTATTGACCTCATCAAAAGTCCATAATTGATAAACATACTTTAACAAAGTCTTTGTCTACAAATATATCATCATGTTTGAGGATTATGTACCCATGTGTTGATTCAATGCTAAACATATGGAATTTTTATAGAAAATCCACGACGTTTTCCCTTGTACTCTCATATTTGGCAATTTGGTACTTGATAGATAGAGGATTATTGCATGCAGTGCTAGCAATGATTTCCTTAAAATAAGTTTGAAAATTTAGATGTAAGTTGAAAATGAACTGAGAAAGCCATGTCTAAAAAATAAAAAGATCAGCAGACAAAGTCACAAACAACGTACAGTACACAAAACATATTACACAGACAACATAAGACTTCAAGTGTAATTTTACTCTTTGTCAGTGGGTTGCTGTCTCATCCCTGGATAACCCACATCTCCTTTTATTCATATATCAATTTAATTAGTGCAATTCCATAACAACCAAGATTATCTTACTAAATGATTTAGCACTGAATTATAATAAACATTGACAAGACAAAATCTGACCCCATTATTTGAGGTAATATTTGGCCAAATCATCCCTAATTATGACTGAATCCTATAACTAAAATGATATTTTATTCATACAAACTTCTAAATAATCTTGTTTAAGATGCCACAGCTCAATAACTACTGGTCTCAAATGTTCAAGTCTTCCCGATGCTGTTGGAGACATGAGACGTAGGTTTTTTGCACCTTCAAATCTGACTTTGGTCAGTTGGTCACCAGATGTTATAACTCCAAATTTATCTAATATTTCAACTGTTCCTGCACAAAAATATAGAACAACTGTACATTTTTGTTTTTCGTTTAATTTTTAGTACATAAATCAGGCCAGAAGTTTTCTAGTTTGATATGTTTTACATAATTTTGTCATTTTGCTGCCTTTTACAGCTGACTATGTGGTCTGGGCTTTTTCATTGTTGAGGGTCATACGATAAATTATATTGCTTAATTTCTGTTTCTCTAATTTGTGTGCTTTTTTCACATTTCCTGAGTGGTGTGAGAAAAATATTTCTCATCACTAGTGAAATATCTATTCTCAGCAAATGATTGGTCGAAATTTAAATATGACGTTTAATTTTCTTAATTTCTTCTGAATTTCCTATTGTGACGTCATGAAAAAAGATGTCCATGCCTGATGATGTCACATATAAATACAACACAACTTTTTGAAAATGTTTGAAAAGGAAGGTTAACATCATTAGAGAAACAGATTCCACCACTATAACTCGTGTATTAAGATATTTCTACACTCTCAAGAGTTGAATTTAACTGTCTCGAGTGGAGAAGTATTGTAACAAACTAGTTGCAGTTATGGAATCTATATGTCATTTGGTTTCTTGTGAAAAGTTGTCTCGTTGGAAATCACACCACATGATGTCATCTTCTATTTTATAATGTCTCAATATATAATTTAACCTATATTTGTACAGAATGAGGATTTTATGACAATTTCAAGGTTTCATGTTTTGAGCTGAAAACAAATCAAAATGTGTAAAAAATTGTTAATATTGCAACAATTTCAATTTTGAAAACGAACAACTTAAACATTTAGGGAATATGTGGTTTTTCAACTATTCACTTCATCAAAATAAAAAAAGTTTTTTACAGTCAATGCTAAACAAAGTTAGTTCATCCAATTAATTTTTTTGTGTGATAAATTTATCATTTTCACAGTATACAGAAGTCAGTGATATGAAAATAGTCTATGAGACGTGGAGAGTTGTCTCATTGGCAATCATACCACATCTTCTTTTTTATATGTATGGTATATTAACACTAACAGTAATTAAATGACATAATGTTTGTGTCCAGAAAAAGATCATTATGACTGACAGCAACAAACCATGGGATTCCTGAAATGTTTTTTGAAGCAATTTCTCATATGAATCCATGACATCAAGAATGTCTTCATATTTAGCCTCATTCTTATGTTGGATGGGTAACTGGAAAACTTGGCTCTTTTGGGACATCCCAGCACTATAGCTATGGCTCATGTGTACTGGTACCACTGTTGTCATCCATTTGAACTGATCCATTGAACTCAAAATTCTTGCAATCTGAAATCAATTAGCTTTCTCCTCAACTTTTTACCACATGTAAAAACTTCAACATTCATTCTAGTGTAAATAATATTAGATAAGTTTTTCAAGATAAACAAGAAATTCATTATACTTTTAATACAGTCTATTCACTAATCAATGAAGAATTAACTTATATTAAATATTAATGTCAGTCAGTCAAGAGTTTGTGGTATACAATGATAGAACCAAAATTTCCAAACAATATTTCAAATTTTCATAACTTGTAAAGAAATCCAGTTTTATTAAAAAAGTTTTTTGTCTCCTCATTTCTTCAAAAGTTTAATAAGTCATTTTCTTCAAGTTGTTAAACATAATTACAAAGGCTCACTGAGACCAAACACACAAAATGTAAATGAACAGTGCTTTTTATGCTGTTCTTCATCTCAAAGTCACAGTGAACCTGCTTCACAGATTATTAAACATTTTTCTATTTCACAAGTTGCAAGCTCTAAGTAAAGCTGAGTTGTTTTCATGCAATCTTCAAGTATAAACTAAAATACCATAGAATTTAACCTTTTGAAAATTTGTATAGGAAATATTCAGCTCTTTAGATTATCAAACATAAAATATATAGGAAATTATAAAATGATTTGTTATAATATTCCAAAAGGTTAATTTCTATTAATAACGGCTAAATGTTATAAGTAGCATTGTACTTTTTCTGGTCTCCCGTTGGGATCGATCCAACTTACACTTATAAGTGTATTCTCCTGATAAAGACTCTGTTTGTACAATTATCATGCTAGTGCTAAAGCTTGGTAAGGCAATATATAAATGCAGTGCAAGTGTTAAGCAGCAATTATAAGCTAGCTGAATTCTACTATTTCTACAAAACTGACTAAACTAATGTAAATTCAGATAATGATGGTGTTATTTTAACTTAAAATTAAAAATTGAAGCAAACATTCCAGTTTTGTATGTAATATTCTTTTGCATCCACATTTAAGAATTACAGAAATAAATTTTCTATTAAGGTAATTAATTTAAAACTCTGAATTTACATATAATTTGAAAGAGCAATTAAGCTAACAGGAAGGACAAAAAGCCACCACCATTAATGTAAGCATGTTATGTATGTTAATTAAAAGCTAATATACATCTAAGCATTTTTGTAAGCAGGAAGGCATGCATGCTTTTATATACTTACCATTTCAAACTGCTTGTCACCACAATGAGATAAAAGAAGGAATCCAATAAAGTTGTGTATAAATAAAACCAAAAAGTTTTTTTTCTAAAATTAAAGAAGGATTAACTTTACAAAACAATTTCAACATTATTTATCAATTACTTAATATTCATCCACTTAAAATATTACCAGTATTGAATATGAATATTTCATGTTGTCAATTTCTGCCTCTGTTAGTTTTAAAACATCTCCATTAACTGCTGGAACAGCAGGGGTTCTGTTGTCCATATCTACAGATGATAACCTGCTAGTTAAGGCATTTGAGGCAAATAAATGCATATCTGTATTTCCTTTATCTATTGATACACAACGACTTTTAATGTATATGTCCAGATTGTCGCCGGTAATTTTTAGCAGTGGCTTTTCCTTCAAATAATCACACAGAGCTCTATGGCTGATTTCTCCGGCCTCTTTTATCAATCTTTGCTTACTGGTTGGTGACAATGTAACACCTACTCTGTTCAATCTAGTAATCAGCTATGAAAAAAAAATATAATTTACATATTTCATTGAAATGATATAACAGTGTTATGGGCTGTCCCATAAAAGTAATAAATTAATCAAACACATTTTGGATGGAAGGCACTATTATCAAACCTTCTATGAATAAAAAATTCATTATTTATATTAATAAATTGTTCAATTTATGTTTCTACAATAACTATAATGATTTAAGTGTGCATAGAAATACCTTCCGACCCATGTATAAATAGTTCTGTACTTTTTGCTGCTAATTATTTTTAAGTAAATTGCTTTTACTTGTTGTCAATTGTTATATTTGAACAAAAAGTAGGAAAGTATTCTGACTTTTTCAGTTATATAGATATAAGTAGATGTGGTATGAGTGCCAATGAGACAACTCTCCATCCAAGTCAAAATTTATAAAAGTAAACCATTATAGGTCACAGTACGGTCTTCAACACGGAGCCTTGGCTCACACCGAACAGTAAGCTATAAAGGGCCCCCAAAATTACTAGTGTAAAACCATATGTATATGTATATGTATTTAAGTAAATATAAAATTTACCTATAAATTTTTCAAAATAAAAAATTAACTGAGAATCTAAACATTTCTTTTTTTAATGAATACCATATCTTCTGCTCGTCCCCTTATACAAATCGCTGTCATCATCCGTTGGAATGCACTCATTTCTGCATTTCTTGCAAACATAAGAATGCTGTATACTATAGCCAATGATCCAGTTATTCGACTTTTTTGCCCTTGTAGATGTTTTTCATCAAATGCAGACAGCATTATTTCCAAAAAAAATGGTGTCCTATATCATACAATAATTAAAACATGTACATGATTATATTGATAAGTGATTACATTATTGAGCATTGTTAATTTAAAACAGTTACTATGATTATATTCTAAAAAATTCAAGAAACACAAATTGTGTCCTACTGAATTCAATATATTAATCTCCCCTTGGTGATGGAAGGTTTTTTTTCTGAAAAATTTCAACACTTACAGCACTTCATTTTTTTATAGTATAATCGAAAAATTTGAAGATCGAAATTTTTAAATTGATACTTGGAAAAATGTTTTTAAACAAAAAAGTATTTTTCCAACATGCTCAATAGGAATGCTCAGAACAGGATACCTGGTATATCGTAATTCATATTGATACCTGTTTTTCATTTCCTCTATAATGGAATCGCACAATTTACTTGAATCTTCGGATAAATGCTCCATTTTCTTCCTGGTTAGTAGCAGACTTTGTTCTCCCATTCTTTTAGTGCTTACATTTTTAATTTCCTGGTTTATTAATGATCTTGCTCTTTGCATTATAAAAACGCCACTTACTCTTATATCATCTAAAATTTAATCATTGCAAATAAAAGCATTACAATTCCTTTCCAAATCTTGCATTGTCTCAATTAATGTACCTCTTTTTTGTGTTAATTACCAATAGTCTTTATTTCATTTAGTATGAGAAAGTCAATAGTGAATAAATATCATGCAGGCAGTTATATTTTGTAAATGTAGTTTTGACATAATATTTGAAGTACAACATGAACATTTCTTAAGCATAAAAATTTGTTGACAAAAAAGTATTCAAATAAATCCTGTAAATGTAAAATGTTCTAAATTCATATGCTATCCACTAGGTTAATAAGTGTCCAAATACCTGGTTCTGGCTGGTTTTTGTCATTTATTCTGATGTTTTCAACAAAAGAGTCCAATACACTTTCTTGAAATAGTTCCCTACAAGAGGGGGGTTTGGACCTGCTGTAGGCATGTTCTTCTCTTTTACTAGTTAAATTAAACCAAAATAAAGTCTATAAAAAATATAAACATGAGAAATTGAAATTTTTTTGCAAAACTTTAGAGCTATTTTCCTAACTCATGTAGTTCAAAGGTTTGGCTTGCTTTGTTTGAATAACTGTTTCCTCGAACATTATCAATAAGTTTTACAATTGCAATCAGTAGATCGTTTGGGCTTTAGCTTGTATAATGCCATAGGATGCTTGTGCAAAAATTTATACAAACTAATTAGCCAGCAAGCAAACCAAACCTTTAAACTACATGCATTAGGAAAATAGCTCTAATAGAAATGAAACCTTTTCATTTTTGGAAGATTTATGAAACCATTCTGATTTGAACAAAGAACTTTACTGAAACTGTAAAAAAAAAAATTTTAATTATTTGTTATGTTTAGCCTGTTTAGAGGACATGTTTTTCAACATACAATCAACATTCTTATGGAAAATATTCCGTCCTTCTGATTACTGATTTTTTCTTGTAAGAAAAATTGGATGGAGGAGCTGACTGTCATCAGATTTTTACTTCTATTAGCAACACATCAGTTACCATAGATTTCAGTTGCTGCCAGGATTTCTGTTGCTGGATGTTTGGTTTTCAGTGTAATGTTTTACTTTAAATGGTTGTCTTTTTCTCGTTTCTATTTTCGCTAAAGTGCGTTTTTTTTTTTTTTAACATTTGAATTATTATTCTACTCTCTCTCTTTATACTTCAGTTAACATCCCCTTTTTGAACAAATCATGCTAGATGAGACTATAATTTCAAATTCCGTAACTATTGGTTATAAACTCATAAGATTAGCAGTATCAAATGTAACAGGTAACTTACTCATTTGCATCGATACAAGCAGATGATCTTCTAATAATTGGTGTCTTGCTATAACCATGTTCTCTGTTGATTAATAAGTAGATTTTATTTATGGTGACGTCACACTTGAAAATAACAGTCAACAAATAAAAAAAATCAGAAAAATTTATCTTTGAAATAAGGCTCAACATTCCTTGAAATTACAAGAAGAGACAAAAAGCATTTAAGCATATGTTTAACTTTATAACAGAAAGTAGCATATCCACACATTTATAGTTGTATTTTAAGCATATTTAAGATACATTAAATAGGGCAACCATTTTTTAGTAATTAAGGCCAAATCATTATTATAGAAAATTAGGTTTCATAAATGGTATAAATAATTTGCAGTGAACATGGTTCTACATGTAGAAAATGCATTAATTTTGTTGTACTGATTAGAAAAATCAAGCAGTAACAAGTCATAATTTTATAAATATATCTTATTTTATAAAAGCATACAAGATCATAATTGGTTAAATGCAAAAATTTTTCTGATAAATCAAAACATCCAGAAAAGTTGCTTGCAAATCTATGGATAAAGAATTACTTACTCGCTTAACACTACTGTCTTTTTAACATTGACATTTCCATGATGTACAATGCTTGCATCTAAACTGAAAATATACATATAAAGTAAAGATTTTTCTTTTAATTGTTAAACATAATTTATCAAAAAGAAAAACCAGTCTCATTGCAAGCTCAAATATCTGCCCGTCTCTTCTCTATACATATGTATATGGTTTGTTGAGAATAAAGATATACAGCAAGGCAATAATAATAATCCATCTAGAGTATGCAATTGCAAGGTTGTTTATATTGTAAATCCCTGCTGTATTTTAATTGAAATGCCATAACAACATAACTGTCTGTTGCTATTTGCATTTCCTAATACAATGTAACAACTTTAAGAGTAACACCATATGGCAGTTTGATTATCCTGGTCTAATCTGTAATATTTTTTGTGTAAATTAACTAAATATTTTTCTTATGTACTTTTAGGACTCCTTTCGTTTTAGGAATGCTAAACTTTTTCAAACTTTATCTTCCTCAAGACAAAAATCTACAAAAAAACTTACGGACTAAATACCAAAGTATCATCTTCATTATTACCAGAGACTGGTACTTCATCTGTTAATGATGTTGATGTGGATCTGAAAAAAATGAAGCCTTTTAAACAACCTATTCTAAAAAGAAAAACTTGTTCTTCAGTCATATTGAGTATAAAAAAATAACAAGGTGTTTCTTAAATTTCAATTTATTTTATCCTCAATCAAATATTCACTCTAAATTTAAGTACAGATGTTTTATATTGAAGATCACCGTAACTGTTAGAATAGATCAGTTCTTTTTGTATTATAACTATTTGTTAGCTGTTTTTTGTTTCCTGCCAAATTATGATGTAGCAAATCCCTTCCATATGAATTTTGTAATTGCTTATTATGCTGTTACACCAGTCCCAGATTACGTGAGCATTTGCCAAATTCTCCATGTGCCAGTGCCAAAGTCCAGTTATTTAAAGTTAGCAGTTGTCATTTGCTGTTTGTCATACTAACATTGTTAACTGATTTAGCATAAGTAAGTTAGGCTATTGGTTTTCTCTTTTGGGTTTTATTGGTCCATCTTTACCTTACCTTACAATACAGTAGAATAGGATTTTATTCTTTTTTGACATATGTTGCAAATAAATCGAAGTAGTTTGTTTTCTGATGGTGGTTATTTGTCTCACTGGTAATCTCGATAACATAAACTCCTCTTTAATAGATATTTAATTATATTTTATAAAGTAACATGCATGTGTCAATAGTACACAGATGCCCCACTCACTGTATCATTTTCTATGTTCAGTGGACCGTGAAATTGTGGTTAAAACTCTTTTTTGGCATTAAAATTAGATAGATCATATCATAGGGAACATGTGTACTAAGTTTCAATTGATTGGACTTAAACTTCCTCAAAAACTACCTTAACCAAAAACTTTAACTTGAAGAGGGAGACGGATGAAAGGATGCACAGACCCAAAACATAATGCCCCTAGGTGGGGCATCAAATTTACAAGAATTATATATCTTTTTAAAATGGAACATAATAATTTTTATTCTCAATGTATTTTTTTTTACCCAATATCGTGGCATATTTCTGGAGAAAAATTGGCCATTCTCTTCTTCTGTGTTTTTCGAGACAAAAAAGTGGAAAAACAATGTTTGCTAGATGAAATAAATCCATAAAAACGAGAAAATGAGGAAAAACAATTTCTACAAACTGAGGCTTCATTCTGAAACAATTCATCAATCAAATCAAAAGTATCTGAACCAAAAACTGATTTTAATTTTGAACTGAAGTCATAATTAGAACATTTCTTTCCATTGAAATTAAATTTAACAGAAATTCCAGAACTTAGGCAAAAACAGCAATCAAATTGGTTTTCCTTTGTTGGTGTGGTATCTGTATTTTCCATTCCTAAAAGAGAAGAGATGAGAAAATTGTATATTTTTTGATAATTAGAATTATCGGATCATTCTAATATAAATGTTGAGCAATAAATAGGTCTCATAACAATTGGAAATAATTAATTAAAATTATATTTTTTTTCTCATTAAAATGTAAGAGAGTTTAGAATAAAAAAAAACCCAACTGAACTAACACACAAACTGTTATATCAGATTAGATTGGATGATTATATTCAATAGAATTTGTCAATTTTATCTCATCATATGATATAGAACCAATGAAAAGAACCAAATTCAATAAGATACATTTTACTTATTAAAACTGATAAACATTGTTTACTTTAGAAATAATACAAAATACTAAGAAGTTAGTCCCTGAACAAAAAATTAGCAAGCATAATAAAACAATTTGTAAAACTACTAGTTTTATATAAAGGCAAAATATAAAATTCAATCTTTCAAGTTTTTCCAAGTTAATAGAGTGTTTATAAACTGTGTAATACCAGTGACTGATTAATTACTATACATTTACCTAAGCCTATATATAAATTTGCTTTCTTATGCCATGTACCTTCACTGAAATCTTCAGTATTTGTTTCTGAAACACAAATTAAATAATGCAGCTAAATACAGCTTTTTTATTAAGTTTAAATCTTTGGTGAACATTACTAATTGTTGTGCAACTGGGTTCCCTTTTTAAATATGAATAAAATAATAGAATCCTGAAAAATGTCAGAGGAAAGTGAAAATATGTTGTCTGTCATTATAATTAATTTGTCTCATTTCCATAAAGATTTTTTTACCAAATTTTCAGAAATTGTACTGGAAGGTCACCAATCCTCGTTTTTAGGCAAGTAGGGATCGATCGATTTTGTTTTACATTGAGTCTATAGGAGCAACATTCTGACTTTAACAGTGAAAACAAATCTTTAGGGTAGGCTATTATTCAGACTAAAAACGTAGAGTAGGTATAGGGTCACTGGCACCCTCGGGGGGCCACTTCAATACTTAGTTGATAGGGGTGCCGCTGGGGTTCTGTAACCCCACCCTTTTCATATAATTTAGATTTTAAAAATGTATACCTTTTCATATATTGCGTAGGTAAAAATGTTACCTTTTCCCATATTGTTTGGGTTCCATGTGGTGTGTATTGTAAGAGTGGAATACCAAAGTGTCAAAAGAGAGAAAATTGGTCGATAAAAACAGCCGGGACCACCAATAAAGATGACAGATAAAGAAGTTATGGGAACTTTATTGACCTTATCATATATTTTTGATAGTTTTCCACGACCTATTCACATATTTCCAAGTTTGAAAAGGTGACCAATTCAAGCGGCACGTCCTATCACCTTGTATATACATGTAGGAAGCCCCCCCCCCCCCGAGCTGGAACCACACATACATTTATTTGGCTGAAGCATTCAGATGCTCCAGGCACACAGTTATTGTCCTTTGAGTTTCTTCGTCTACAACTTAAGCCCAGAGAATGGACAGACAAGTATAACTTGCAATTTTTTTTCATACTCCTACCAATTTGTTTCTCTAAATTTATGCACAATTATAATTATCAGTATGGAGGAGGGTGGTGAAATTACATGTAAGGCTTATCAAATTTGATTCACGAATTTTAAGGTGAAATATTGACATACAGTCAAGAAGAAAAAGGTAAAAATTCAGTTGGTCTGATACGAAGCTGTCTGGCAAACTGAATTATTGTCTATTATAATAGACCCCGTTTTAATTTCCTCAATTTTGTTTATATAAATAATGTTCATCAAAAGAAATAATGAAAAATATACATGGCCGTGTTTTACGCAACCTGATTCATGCCATCATGGTTTGATGATTGATTGATCTTTTGTCATTTTTTTTTTTGGTTTGATCAAGACAACACAACGCCAGGAATATTATCTCATGTGTAAATTTGTTATTATAATGTATTTTACATATTTTTTTTTTATTTGTAATCGATTTGTGCTTTATGTTATTGTTTTCCTTTACCATTATCACAATCTAAGCAATGTTATTGTATATGCGGCAGACGATTGTTTACGTTGTTGAATCCCGGAAGAGAGTCCTCTATGAATGAGACCCGAGAGATGCGAAGTGCTGGTTGCAGTGATGATAGTTTAGCGAAGCAACGTCACCACTGTTTCGGAGTTTGACTAAAACAATGTATGTCCCTTTCGTGTAGGATTTGGAAGGTGGACACCCTTAATCATAATTGTCCTGCTTGGTTGTATAGCTCTGCTACTGTTTCGGTTCTTATACATCGTTGGCTTTCAAATATTTGGCTTTGAGCGTTCCTGATAAAGGTAAATCCTGAAAAGCGCTTCGGACGCATGCAATTTATAAAGTTGAGTTTTCATATTTTTTAAAATAAGTGACATTAAATTGATATGATTTTTTTTTTTGCTTTTCACTATTATTCCACATGCTCAATTGAAATATTGGATATATCTTTTTCATTTAACAGAGCTGTGTCTACAAATATTGGAAACGGACATACACATATGTAAAAAAAGACATTTAAGGTAAAACTCGTCAACTAACATTTTATTGCTAGAGATGTATTGTGATTCCGTTTGAAGAGATGCACCTTTTATAATTTTTGTTTCAGGGATTATTATTAAATATATCCCTTTCAACACCCTAATTATATACAAGAATATATTGTAATGGATTCGTATTAATTCTGCTTTGTTTTTCGGTATTGTAGTCTGTCTTATTTTATAATATCAGCGTAAGTTTTAAAGGCAACTTCATAGTCTGATATTTTATTCCTCGTGTTTTTATGATAAACTTGCATTTTAAACTATATCATAGTGTAAATGACCCTTTATTGACCTAGGGCTTCTAAATTTGATAAACTCTTAGGAGAATACATTTATAAATCCCTTTCCTATGATGTCTTATGGAAATTAGACTAACCAATGGATTTAAACAAGAGTAAAACAGCGGGTTTTACTTGTTGAGATGGAATTTTGATCCTTAAGGAGCACTTGATTTCATCTATATTTGTATTGTTCTAATTTCAGTTTTCTGCAAAATGAAAACCAATGTTCATTATTCTTTTCAATGCCTTAGAGATGCATTCCCTTTGTTGATTTTGATTTTTCCCTTTGCATCCCCTTATGTTTAATCACTGTTAATTCTAATACTGCGAGCAATTACAAACGTTGTGAATCGCTTGCAAATTAAAATTAAAATTACATTACATTAGCCCATTAACCGGCAAAATATTAAAACAAAATTTGTCTGATGACTACACGCTCTGTGAAACACATGTTAATGACTGGTACAATGATGCCAAATCAAAATAAGTTAAAAAAAAACCTGAATCCTATTCCAAGTCTAATTCTATCAGTTAGAGATTGTTGGTCACAGTTTGAAAATCATTAAGCATAGACTCTTTCAAGTCAACGTTTGTTTTCCAATATCAATGTTCACAAAATCAAAATACAGTGCAAGAGAAAATTTAATCCATTTAAACATATTCATCTGTTAATTCTTTAACTAAAGCTAAACCAATTGATGGCAAGATGTTTTCTTATGGAAAGGGTAAGTAAAATTTGACATTAAGGACCTTAAGGTTTCACTAAAGTCAAAATATAGGACACTTCATAAACATGTAAACTTTGCCTGCATTTTTCAACCTATAATAAGTAAAGTCCTAAACTATGAGAACATATGTTCATTTAAACATACTTAACATATACACACTGTGTAAATTGTAAATAAACTTGAAATTGTTATGTTGTGGCCAAACCGGTTCTTGGGGTGAACACTAAATTTTTAAAAAAATCTGGAGGCCTGCGAGACCCCTTTATTTGTATAAAATTGTTATGGACGTATACTGTTGTATCTAATGCAGGGCAAGCTCATGTTGATTTTTCAGAAAATGTATTGATTTTCGAGTTTCAGTTAATTTCATGTATCTAGGTGAACAAATATCGAAGGTACAATACAGAAATTGGACAAATATGCCATTAAAACATATGTATGTGACAAATCAACATGAGCTTGCCCTGCATTACATGTAACAGTATTCGTCCATACCAATTTTAAGCAAATAAAGTCGTCTCGCAGGCCTTCAGATTTTTTTGAAAATTTAGTGTTCACCCCAAGAACCTGTTTGGCCACAGCATAACAATTTCAAGTTTATTTACAATTTACAAAATGTGTATATGTTAAGTGTGTTTAAATGAACATATGATCTCATAGTTTAGGACTTTACTCATTATAGGTTGAAAAATACAGGCAAAGTTTACATGTTTATGAAGTGTCCTATATTTTGACTTTAGTGGAACCTTAAAGAAAACGATATAATATGGTCACTTTATTGTCTTTTGAATTGAAATATTGAATATCTTTTGACAGATTCCAGATATTTGTACTTTTTTTTTACATTTTGCCTCACGTTTTTTGTTTAAAATTAGCCATAAGACGTTAATAAAATTAATAAGTCACTGTACGGACTTCAACAACTCAAGGTATAAGTTCCTATATAACGTATCTTGTTAAAGTCAATGCTATTAATTCTTGAGAATCGTTTGAACGCAATTTGTAATAAAATGTTAACATTTAGTAAATGTCAAACACCGATTGGCGTTTGTATAAAAGAATTGGTTTATTAGGTCAATTGAATAATTTAAATGTTTATTAGTTCTTAAATTATGTCATAATCTCAAAAAAAAAGAAAATGAAAAAAAAAAAAAAAATGAGGAACAGACATTGATTTCTTTTTTTGGTTCAAAGATGAGAATTGATATAAATTGAATTTGCGAAAATCTATATTATTGATCTGACTAAATACTTTGCAATGTTATGTTTTAAAACAGTTAGTCGTGTTTAATCTTAAAAACAAGTAATTTGTATTTATATGAATCCAAAACACGTGTGGTGCTCTTCAAATTTTAATGAAAGCTATCAATAACCATGAGTAAAGTTAGGTTGTCGCAATATTCAATGCTTTAAAATTTAAGCATCACTATCGAATCTACGAACCTTCCAGCAGTTACCCAGATTTTACAAATTTCTTATTTCAAATCAAGATCTTTTGTTTTATGAAAGATATGTATTACATATACAATATCACAAAAGACTGAGAGATAAAAAATCAACCAGAATTCAATTTGAAATTGAAATAATCCTAACACGCCTTAGATGCTCTCTAATCCTTGGTAAAGTTCGAATAGTTTAGCTATTATCAAATCCGTTGATGCTTATCCATCTCTTTTCAATCATAGCAAGATAATTCCAAAAATATACATTTTTAACGTTATGCATTACACAATTAAATGTAATAAAAGACTTATTTAAAGATATGTAAAAATAACCAGAAACACAAAGAACAGTTCACTTGATTGTCACGCAGATGAAAACACCATTAATCAGGGATATAGATATATACAAAAAATGTGTACAAATATATTTTCAGAATGGACGAAATTAGTGTCGGAATAAACAGTTATTACTGAAATGTTTGGAAAAACCCTTCTGCATAGGCAAATGCCCTTCGATCTCTTGAATGCTGAGTAAAAGATTAATGATACAGCATATACAAATTAACCTCCTTGGA